TAAGGAGATAAACGCACTAGAAGTCCCCACTCTTAAGTGGTGAGCCAGATGTGGGGAGGGACACTTAAAAAAAGGAGACTTAAAAAAAGGTCACTTTTTTCAGGTTTTTGCTTATATCAGGAAAACTATCCATCGTATCGACAAAAACGTTCTATACAAAATTAAATATGATAAAATTTGCAATATGATTGATTATATACCTTTTTTCTCCACCAAGTGAAAGATAAAAGATTTTTTTTCCAAATTAAGTTAAAGACGGATATCTTGAAAACTAAGGGAGTTAACGAAAAAAGGTATATATATAATCATATTACAATTTTTATCAGCTTTAATTTTGTATAGAATGTATTTGTCAATGTGATGGATAGTTTTCCTGATATAAGCGAAAACCCGAAATACAGCAATAAATATGAGAAATTTTTTTTTTCAAAATTAGCCATAGTTGAGGATGGATATCTCGGAAACTAAGCAAAGTAGTCAAAAAATGTACATGATCAACCATATTGGAAATTTTATCAGCTTTAATTTTGTATAGAACGCCTTTGTTGATGTGATAAGTAGTTTTCCTGATATTAGCGAAAACCAGAAAAAAGTGACCGCCTAGACGTCCTCCCTCCCCACATCTTGCTCACCAGCTAGGAGTGGGGACTTTTAGTAGGTTCACTTACTTACTAGTCCAATCAATGTCCTAAAGTCAGAAATTATGTAGCCGCCATTTCCTTCTTTAATCATTCATTGGCTATCAGAAATTATCAGTAATATACTTTTTTTTAATCATTACCTTCTATGGCTTTATATGTCAGACATTAATTTTTCTAATATCTTCAGCTTTCAAACAATATTGGATACACTTCATGAAATTTGTTTCTAATCTGGGAGAATGTTTCTCATTCAGTCGATTATCAAATCATAGTTTACATTTAACCATTTCTTATTTACACTAACAACAGACTCTTAATAATTTCAATGAGGGGAACTGGCGGTGGGTGACAACTGCGAAAGGTTCTATCTTGAGAAAATATTTTCCTACCGTCCGGTCATGATCGGAAACAAAATGTATTATCTTGGACTTCTGGGTTTCCGCACTAAGTTGCATAGTCTTGGAACAGACATTGATCCCCTAGGCCCCAGTTGCGGAGTTTCAGAAACAGCCGAAAATATTATTGTGGACTGCACAATCTTTGAGGCACCCAGAGCTAAACTTCTGAGAGAAACTGGGTACTACATCCTGTCTGAGAATGATTTAGCTCAGTTGGTGGCTGAAGAAAACAATCCGTTCTTCACGGTTTACAGGTGGAACACCGAAGTTGGACGACCGCCAGATAGAGGCTGCCTGGAAACAACTACATGAAGTATGACACAAAGTTGCCGAACCTCATTTTGTCAGAAGGGCAAATAAAAAATGTTAATTATTTCAAACAAAAAAAATTAATGGAAATTTAAAGGAAGCCATTTTGAAAATTCTGTATTCAAGCCTTGTCAGACCATTTAATTTATAAATTGATAAAACGAGTTGAATAAAAATTGAGCCAGTAATTTTAAAAAAAGTGTAAAATCAATTAAATCAAGTGGTGTTCAAAGTTATTTCAACACCCTGGGCATATACTTCGTACCTGTAGTAAGTAATTTCAGTTCCATGTGACCTATTTATTTTTGAGTTACGAGATAAGACTGTTCATGTACACACTGACCTTAAAACACATTCAACTTGGATTCAAAATTTTTATAATCGCAATACTACTATCCCTTACTATATATTTTCTTTATAGGTATTTTAAAATAAAAAAAATGTTAGCAATGTTCACAAATGGTTTTTAAAACTCTACTATAGATAGCTAAGACATTCAATAAATACTTAATGTAATTTTAAACTATCTTACCATACACCTTTGATTCGATCAGATTCATTTTTGGTTTTGGGCTGTTCAGTTGACGCATTGTCTATCGTGACAGGACTCGGATCCCTCTTCTTTTTGTCTCCAGACCAGAACAGAATACTCCGCTTCCTTCCTGGGTTTGGGGTCAATCTAAACGACACAGCACACAAAACATACTACGTATGACCCACAGGATATGTTTACTTGAGCAGAATTGAAAGGGAGGGGATAAAAAAAGTAGGAAAAATAATTATTTCAATATTAAAAATAACATACCTGTTTTAAAATGTTATCAATTCAAGTTAAAATGATCATATCTTTTGAGAACCTCCACCAAATTGCACAAAAAATAAATAAAAATGTTGTTAGGTTCAATTAAATTTTATTAAGAGATTAAACAATATGTTATACAAAGTTAATGTTACAATAAATATATAAAATATTAATAGAAATAAAATGTTAATTAATTCAAAGACAATGGTATGTTATTAACAGCCTTTTTGTTTCTTTGTTTTTAGTATTATCTATCAAGAAATAAAAAATCTTGGTATCATTAAGATTTAAGATCAAAAGTAGTTTCATTTTCCATAATAAAATGTAAGAAACATGAAAAAGATCAGTCAAAAAGTGACACAATAAAATTCATAAACACGCTATAATAAATATCGACACAGCCAACCACCAAAACCTTAATTTTAGTATAGTTAAAAAAAAAGGAGTGACTCTTCTTTCACATACATCATAGCTTAACCATGCACAGATAAAAAACTTAAATACAAATTCAATCTTTTAAAAAAAAAAAGATACTCTAACATTTTAGCCAATACATTTCTAAATATAATAAAAGTCTTAGCAATACCTAAAATATTTACATAACAATCAAATGGACGGAATGAATAATAAAGTACATATTAAGGAACATCTACAGTATATGATACAAAATTTTACAATAGTCTAGACTTCAATTAAGCGTTAATTACTAATCTAATAAACTTTTTCTGATTTATTAATTTAAAATTTCTACGGGGAATTCACAAAATTAGGGAAAAGAGAGAAAAAAAATAAAAAGATGATACAAATATAAATAGAGTAACCTGTTGCTACTTTATTATATTGAAGTAAATGAATAAATAAAATACATTTTTGGTAATTATCACTAACATAGATTATGTCTCATTAAAAAAAAAAAAAAAAAAAAAGTGAGATACCATGCAAAACTAAATCAAACAAAAAAATAAAATTGGGTAACAAAGGAGATTAAGGAGGGTCTGCAATCCAAAATAGTCTAAAATAGTAATATATCTACAATGCACAAAAAACCTCAACCCATTCTCGGCATAGCATACAGCGACAGTTCGCTCATGTCAGTTTGCTACCTTGCTGACAGCGCCGTAGCTTCCGCATACCATGAAGCGACATCAACATACTTCGTTTCGTAGCGGGTCAAAAACGGATACTGGAGCAGTCTCTTATACTTTGGTCTCTGGTGGTAATCTTTAGTGAGGCTGCAATAAAAAATCAAAACTGATAAGCTGATAAATAATTATTTATCTGATTTTGAAGAGAGAGTGCATATTTTCAAAACTATATTACTTATTAAAAAAGTTGTCATTATTCTTAGTTATTTGGCAATAATTACTTCTAATTAGCAACAATTGGATATATTTCTTATTATCAACGTTACATGTTAACAAGTTTACGTTTTGGGATATTTACTCCCATCTTCAGAACTACAATCCTAATGATCTTGTGGATGCAAGGCTTAAAAATAATAATGTGCTCCATCGTCAAATTTCTAGTTCATGTTATAAAATATATCATCTAGAGCAACATCTTGCTTTAGACCCATAATCGGGTGTCTGCCATAGTGAAATACAATTGACCTTTGGATCTGACTGTTTTATATTTTTATACTATTGTTGTTAATGTTTATTTTATGTATCTGCAATTTCATTTCTATTAAATTTTAATTTTTTTTAATATGTCTGTATAATGAGTTCCTAAATGTTTAGTGTCTGTTTTATAATTGACTGTTGTTCTATTGTTTTTTGTGATGTGTATTGCTTCAAGTAATTTCCTATTGGTGTTTTTTGGTTCTGTGCCTATTATATGTGGTTTATTGAAGTTAAATGTATGCTGTAATCTTACGCATGTGCTAAAGCTATTGTGTTTATGTAATATGTTGTGAAATTCTGGTCCCTAATTGCTTGGATGTTTCACCAATGTAGATTTTAGGGCAGTTTTGACAATTTAATTTATATATTACATTTTTCTTGTTTATTAGGTCTATTTTATCTTTTGTATTGGTGATATGCCTGCTCAGTTTCTTATTATTATATTGCCCGAGTTTAATTCCTATTATGTCATAATTTTTGAACACGTCTTTAATTTTTAAACCAATTATTTCTAAAGCAAGATGTTGGAAGCAAGGAGACCGTCCTAAAGCACATCCGGCCTTCATAAAGTAGGTACTATTAATAAAGTTATTAATGAAGGGGGAAAACCAGGAAGTTGTTGTACGTGACTTGATCAAATCATCTCCTTACACAGCTGTTGACAAAAACAAAGTACTTCATTTATTGGTAATAAAGATTCTGTTTTTTTTACTTTCACTTACCTATATGTGTAATATATAATAAGAGAAAGTATTGCTATCGTGAAAATTTTCAAATACAGGTTTTCAATGGAAATTCAAGATTTGAGGTCTCCTGAATCCAAAAGAACAAGTCCCACAATGTGAATAGCCTAGCTCAAAAACAAAAATTTATACGAAACTGACATTACATATCCAAGGTCGAAATTGGCTAACCGGAAGTGGCACTATATATAATCGGTTTTACAAATTTTTCTCAAAAACGGCTCAAACAATTTTGATTAACCTCATCAGATCAAGTGATTTTTGTTTAAGCCAGGTCATATCCTCATTGATATTCTCTAGTAGAGCTTTTGAGCCAAATTTTACCATTACACATTGTAACTACTATTTTAAAACACATAAATACAAATTATGCATACATTTGATAAATAACTTGAATGAGAAATGAGTTAGTACTCCTGGATAGAAACTTTTAAAGCGGAAATAGCCGAGGGCACCTGACACCTGTAGTTTTTCCTCCATTTAAACTACTCACATCAGTGCATGGATACTCTATTGTTAGATCAACTGATAAAACTAATTTTGTTGACAAATAATTTTCAAAAAGATCTTCATGCTAAATGTTGAGGCTATTTATCTACTGATATTAGGGGTTTTCAGGAACTTGCTGTAAATATTTAATGTGGTATCGCGCTAAGCAGTCAGCACAAAGTTTGAATCAATGTTAAACAACCTGTCTGTGCTAACCTGCTTAAGTGTTATTAGCTATAATAAGGTTATCCCTGTCCTGTAAAAAAAGTTTTTGATTTCTTAATTCATCTACAAACGCTTTGATTTATTTTTAAAACGGCAAAGCAAAGTGAAAAGGCTGAGTTTCTGGATTATTTGGATACAAACGCTTTATTAGAAAGTATGAATTAAGATTCAGAAGGCAAAGAACTTGACGAATACATAAATGAAATCCTAACTACCTTTACAATCCATTTCTATGGATATTATACACAAACAAAGAATCAAAACCTTACAATAACCTTCCCCATGCATTTAAAAAGTTAGCAACACTTTACATGATCCTAAGCTTCGTTAAAATCAAAAGTGCTAGTAGCCATATTTAACACACATTTCGTAAATCATTTTCTCGACTTCACACATTTAAGAGGATTACAATACTTAACACTGGTTGCATGAATAGCCCTAATTAACTCTTACTTTTTTTTTAAAATATGAATAAAGCTCACAATTTTGACTTAAGAACCACTTCTTATTAATTTAAATCTTTTTTAATTTATCTACAACTAAGTAATTATTTTTTAATATTCATTTATTTCCTTTAATCTATCATTTTATCATGTATTTTAAAAAGAGGCCAGTGTTTGGTATGGTAATTATTTCAAATGAGTATTTTATATCATCTTTAGTTTTTACTTTCCAAAAAATGAAAACATGTTTTCCTACTTGAGATAGGGTGGTAGGTGAAAGTTTTGTGATGTGCGCACAGCACCATATATTTTTTTTTATTATATCAGTAAAAGACTCAAAATTAATTATAATTACCAACTATTGATGAAATAATGGAATTCAGGCGTAAAGTTACTGTCAATGGGTAAGGAAGGCGGATCATCCTGGAGCACCCTCGACAGCACAGCGAAGTCGGAATTGCAGTCAGTGTATGGAAATTGGCCAGTCGCTAGTTCCACTAATGTGATCCCCAACGACCAGACATCCGCTCTGATATCATAGTCAGGGCTTCCGTTCGGCGGCTGGATCCTCTCAGGCTGAAAATTAGGCATCTTGTGTTATTGAAAGCAATGAACAAAGCTCTTCATAAAATTTTTCAAATAAAGAAACAACTAATAATATTTGTGAGAGGTAGTATATATCAATTCATTAATTAAGTCTACGATTGCTGAGTGATTAGTAAGGCAGTTTATTTTAAATTGGCAACACATTTGCTCATAGATTTTATGCTGGCCTCAAAATTATTAGAAAAAAAACAAAAAAAAAGTAAAACATCAAATAAAAAAAAACAACTTCATGTTAGTTAATTTATTAATTGATCACAACTTAATTTATATTTTATTATGAACCTATACACAATATTTAGAAATGTAGAAAAAAAAAAAAGATTTATTTACTAGGGTCAGTTGGCATTTATAGACAACATCCATTATTAGTTTCATATTTTTTTATTTAAAATACATTGCTAACGTTTCAGGAAACACATCCCATATTGAGAACATTACTCCTGTAATCATGAACAATTTTTTCTTTATAACATTATTTACAGAATTCTTGTATACAATAATAATTTTATGTCATAAAAGTCATAACCATAATTATGATACTGTAAAATATTTGGGATGTACGTTCTCGGAAGAGTGAGTATACCTTTCCCTAGTGCTGCATGAGGAAACAGTGAAAAAACTTAACGACAACTTGGATAAATTAGTGAGCTCTTGCCTTCTTAAACTGGAACAAAAGATGAATGTTGTTAATCAATATTTGTTCCCGGAACTTACCGCCTCCTCCAGATCGCCTCCCTCAGAAAGATACACCCTGCGATAATGGAAGGGATTGATGTAATATCCACAGGAATATCAAGGCCTTATAGGGCTCTCTGCTAATACAACATCGACGATGTATGTACTAACGATTGGGGGAATGGGAGATCCCTTTGCAGCAATGGTCCATTGCCCAGCAACTGTCGGATGCTCTGTTCCAGTCCACATTTGATTATAATGCTGAATGTGCGGAGAGACTGGGTGTTGATCAGGACCACCAAAGTGTGAGAGCTTTAAAAAAGTCGCTGAGAAAAATCTTATGAAGAATGGACCAACTGCAGGTGGCAAGGTGTTGGTGTTGGGCATTTTAAAGAGACCTCAAATGCTTATAAATTTATATGCCAGAAACAAGTACTTTCAGGATCAGAATGGCCCAAAGCCTTAAAACTCAAAATCAACTATGCACCTTTGAGTGGAGTCCAAAGAGTCAGTGGACAGTAAAAGGATATTGGGGCCCTGACATAAATGAGGCAGAAAGTATGCAACACCAGATCATGTGCCCGGAAAATACCCTAACAATTGAAGATGTTCATTACTATTTATTTATTCAATTTTAACGTTAGCATGATCATATCTTTTTGTTCAAAGTCATGGAATTACAATGGTATATATGTGTGCTATTTGTTCTTGTATTTCTAGCATTCAGAACTTGTCTTTTATTTTTTTTCTTTGAAAAATATGTGTGTGATGTAGTAAAAATTCTAGAGTAGTGTATTGGTATTATTTTATAAGACTAGTATTATGATAAGGGAGGAAAAGGAGAATACGTATATGTATAACATAATATAAAAACTATTTCCATATATATTGATTAGTATGCTGTATACAAATGCAAAGCAACCCTATGAAGTAGGGCAGTATTGCTTTCAATAAAGATTTTCTCGCTCTACATATAACTTCTATTAAAATTATTTTTATTTACCCTTTTACTTTTTAAAATATGAATTTTTATAAAATTATTTAAAAAACAAAAGTTGTAAATATGTTGAAAAATAGAGACCATTTGAAAAGAGGATATTGAAAAATACTCACAGACATGTAAGCAGCACATCCAGGATTACCGGATTTCGCTTTAGAATTGACCAACCTCCCAGAAACACCAAAATCACACAGCTTCACGTTTCCGTGAGAATCGAGCAAGATATTCGAAGGTTTTATGTCCCTATGAATCACATCATGGCGTTCTTTTAAGTAGTGCAGAGCTTTGACCGTCTGAAAATTATAGTGGACAAATAAAAAAAAAGTACAAAACTAAAAAGTAACATAGTAATTAGTACAAAGATAAGCCTAAATTTAAACAAGATTGGTAACCAAGAAAATACACATTCTGTACCATGGATGTACGAGAATGTGTCCATACATCCAAGGTACAGAATAAGAAACATTCTAAATTTAAAAAAAAGGTATCAAAAATTTTATAATACAATTATTTTAATTATATAAGACAAATGAACAAATTTACAAGCTGGAAGTACTTTAAAGAATAGAAAATCTAACAAAAAATAAATTAAATTAAAGAAGTCTTGAATATTTTCATTTGTTGGTTTATTAGTTTAACAGCCTTTTCAACTTCCATTTTTATAAAAATTATCAGTAAAATTTAACATATAACATTGAGGGGGTCTTGCCTGTGTTTACTGGAATTAGGTAGTTTTATCATCAATTTCAAATGAGTGTTATTTTTTACCAAACTCCCAGCTCTCATCTCCTAGTGCAGTAATAAGGAACAAAGAATAATTATAGAAGATATATATTAACAACTTACAGCCAGGGCAACCTTGCCAAGAATATCCTCCGGTATTGGCGATGAGAGACGCTTGAGTAGTTTATCGAAGCAAGTTGCCATCAGTTCCATGCATATCCAAACATCGGCATCATTGATAAAAACTCCATAACAGTTTACTATGTAGTTACAATCATGGGATTTAAGAACTACGTCAAGGTCCATGGTAATACGTTTATTCTCCTCAAGATCGCCTGACCACCTCATTTGCTGTTTAACAGACCAAGTCTGATATAAACATCAGTCAAATAAATATATTTTAAAAACATAAAATTATAAAATAAATACCTTAACTGCCATGACACATTGGGTGGGTTTATGAAGCATTTTGACAACATGTCCACAAGTTCCACTACCCAACTCCCCAAGAGGTTCCAGATCTTCGATGTTTGTTTTGTATTTCTAATATCAAGTTAAAAAAAACAAAGATTATATTAATAACTGAAAGGATATTTAAATTATTTTTGCCATGTCATTAAATAAAAGAGCAAAAACTCAACAAGAAGTTTAACTTAATAGTGTACTTGCTTGAATTTATAATTTTCAATCATGCACTTCAATCTAGTCCAATTATGGTCTAGAAGACATGTGGGCCAAGATCACATCGATCACACTTGTACATGTAAGAATAGCTAAATATATCCGGTAATACAACATTATCATAAAACCAATGTTTACATCAGGTTAGGTTATATTTCATTATATAATATTAACAATAATTTTTTTTTTACTTTAGATTATTTTGTATATAAATTTATGTTGTTACATTATTTAGCCTTTAATATTTAGAATTATCATTTGTTTTCCCAATTATATCACTTTTATTACATCCAGATCAATGGCCATGTAATTACTGTGTGTAAAAATAGACAAATAAAAATAAAGATTGGAGATTGTGGCCACCACTATATTCAGTCATAAACACAAAAATATTTACTTTTTTATTCGACAATCACTACACAAAATAACCTTAGTATTGTATATGTATAAATTAGTTCACATTTAAATATCTATTAGTAAAGAGAAGTGAAGGTGACGTGCAAAAATTACGTTTAATTAGAATTATGAAAGTGATAATGATATATATCCATGAATAGTGTGATCATGTGATCTTGGTCAATATATCATTCAAGCATCACACTGGTGAACTAGTACCATCTTAAAATATAATTTTTAAATGAAAATTTAAAAGTAAGACCAACAATAGAGAGAATGTACATTTATTTAAACATAGCAAACTACTTTTATGATCAATCAAGTAAATCAAAAATGTTTTAATTAGTAAATAAATAAACAAGACTTAAATGACCAAAGAAACCGAATTACTATATTTACCAAATAAACAATGGTATCAAATAAAACAAACCTGTCCATTAATGCATATTACTCCACTCATTTCCATTATTTCTTTCATTTTATTGTCAATTTCGACATGATCAACAGTAGAATGAGGTACAAAGTTAGATCCTGGGATGTCATATGGTTTCCTAGTTCTTGTTGGAGTCCCCACATTTCCCACTGTAAAACATAATAAACAATAAACAAATTAAGTTCGAATGCTGTCAATGTCACTGATAGATGTTTTGTTTATTAACAATACATTCTAATGCCATATCACTGGTTAGTTGAAATTATCAGATAAACGAATTGTATTGAAGCTAAAGTTACAATTTATTTCCTAAACAAGGCGATAACTTGTCAGTTAAATTGAAATAATCTAAATATAACTTACATATCTGTGGTCTTCTACCAGACCCCGGGCGTGAACCCGCAGCGAAAGGATTCGACTGATCAATTAATGAAGTATCAACGTTGATCATTTCATTTTCTTTCTTTAGCCTTTCCTGAAGGTCGGAAATCTTGCTTCCCAGATAAGAACTGCTCATTTTAAACCTTTTATAATACACCTGTTAAATTCCAATCACCTGCCATCTTTAACAACAATCTTTCATTTGTACCATCTGTTATTAGGAAATGAGCATAGGCCTACTCAATCTTTGACATATTTGTCCGATTTATTATTAGTAAAATTAAAATAAAATTAAAAAAATTAATAGCAGTTTTTTTTATACAAACCGAATAAAACAAAGATTAATAAAAGTCAAGATAATTTAAGTACCAACTTTTCGCGGGAATTTCAAATTTTATATGACTAGATATGGACTGTGGTGTAGACAAATATTATTTCTGTACAAATGTTTTCGGTTATTGGCATATGTTCTACCCTATATTGGATAAGATTTTTTATCTTTTATACATATAAAGTAATAGGTCCGATATAATACAAACTAGAAAAACATATTTCACACTTCCCTGGAGGTCCATTATTTATCCCTGAAGTTTTGGAAAGAAAATGATTGAAAATACAAATGATATGAATGAGAATAAAAAAGGCCAAGGTTTATGCCCACTTACTGACGAAGAAGTGATAAAAAAGGTAAAACAACTCTGTTAATACATTCTACTACTTTTTCACATAAGCATTACAACAATAAATATGTATACATTTCAGATGAAATATTTTGAGAATTTAATAGGCGAATTGGTATGGAGAAGAATAATTTTTGATAAGCATTGTGAAGATGAGAGGACTAGAGAGTACAGGGAAACTAAAGCTACCATTAGCAAAATATCAGCGATCTATAAAAAAAAAGAACAGTTAGTGGTGAAAGATAGTAATATGTGAGTCAAATTGTACTGTTAACTTCAACCGATCTACCCAAAATTTATCAAAAAATTATCTTTTAAAGTATAATTGTTCGTATAATTACATTTAATAGGACTTCAAGAATTACCTAAACACCACTTCATACAGGTAGTTAGTGTCGTTCTATATATGAAAATAAAACTTTAGGGCTGAAGCCCCACAAAATTAAATTCGCTAGTTCTGATAAGTAAGGTATACGGTTCGGAATGCTTTAACGAATATCTAAAAGCTATTATCTGGAGTCACATTGCCCATATCCTCCTCTCGAGAATTGTGTAGCTCTCTTCTTAAAATATGTACTTGTACAAGTCAAAGTAGAATTATATTAGTAAACAGTAATTTATTCACTACTAGCTGATGTGCCCGTCGTTGACGGATCTATATAGTTAAAATTTGATATATTTTAAGCCAAGCAAACCTAAATATAATGACAAAATTTCAAAAGTCTACAATAAGCCATTGCTGAGCTTACCCCTGACAAAATTTCGTTGGACAATGCGGGCATATAGACAGACCAAATATTTTTTTTTAAAGTGAATTTGTTGTCTGTAATGTATAAAAGATATCATGAAACTGATTGATTCTATTCAATTTACAGACGAAACCTTTATTTTATTTATATAGATGTTCTCTAACCTATAAACATATGTTTATTATTAACATTTATTATCAACATTAACCGAGATCTCTCTACAAATTACTCAAGAATTGATAACTTTGGTTATTTTTAATATTTTGTTTTCATTTAAAACCTATGTTTTAAGTCAAGCAAACTTTATTATAATGTTAAAATTTCAAAAGTCTACAATAAGCCATTGCTCAGCTTAACCCTGACAAAATTTCGTTGCAATGCGGGCATACAGACAGACAAGAATGTTTTTAAAAGTGGATTTGATGTCTGCAATGTATGGAACGGAAAGATATCATAAAACGGGTTGATTCTATTTAATGTACAGACAAAATCTTTATTTTATTTATATAGATTTGTACTTGATTTTGCTTGTTCCGTGGTTTGAAAGATCAACTAATTGAAAATCCCAAAATATATTTGAAGACCTCTGTAAAAATGTGCCTCCCACTGAAAAGTTTTAATGGCGTCATTCCTTTCTCTTCTTAGCATCCTTAAGCGACTTACGTTTAGAACGTCTATTCAGGGGTGCCCAGAAGGGAGTTTTATGGCGCAAGTTGCGCCATCAGAATTTTTGAGGAGGCCATATTTTAAGACAATCGAAATGAAAAGTTTCAAACCAAAAGACAAAGACAAGCATGGGACTGTCTGCAGTACTTTACGGATCCAGGATTTAATTTTGGGGGGGGGCTTCAGCCCGAAAGCTTTTTTTTTCATAACAATAACGATAATTACTTTGAGAAAAAATAAAGAAACTAACTATCTATATGAAATTGTGTTTTAAGTGATTCCTAAAGTCCCTTTAAATGTGATTAAACGAACAATAATACTTTAGGAGATAATTTTTAAAATAATTTTTTTCCATAAAACATGGTTATATTTTATCATTTTGGAGGAGAGAGGAAGATTCAGCCCCAAAGCCTCTCCTCTTCTCCCCCGTAGATCCGCCCGTGCTGCAGGATGTATAATTATATTTAGCATACGATTTTTTAAATACAACTTTCGCTTGCACGGTTTTTAAGAAAAGGAGAGCAACAAAATATTTTAGAAACAGTGGGGAAAGGTTTATGCACCATCGACCTTGGGAAGAGGGGATAGGAACCGCTGCATCGATTATGTCAGATGTATAGCTATTGGGGAGGGGAATGGGCAGAGATGAACGGACTATCTCCTAAAGGGAGCTCTAAACTACAAAAAAGGAAATCGGCACTTTTAGGTTTTTCTCTTTCTTCGAGGAAAATCGAGGTGTAGAAGCTTCAAATATAAGAGCTATTGTGGTTTTCTCTCCCTCGAGTCATGTATTATTTAGCATTATAAGACTTATTAATCTTGTAGTTACTGACATATTTGTTACTTTATTCGCATACTTCGAATCATCTATACTTTTTTTTTGTTGTATATAGCTTAAAATGTTAATAAAAAGTCAAGAATATACTGTTTAATTCGATTTATCGAGTTTTCAGGTAACGAAGTTCCAATTACAACAAGATAGCTTTGATCTTCAACAGGGTACAGGAAAAATTAAATATTTAACAGTAGTGATGGATTTCTATAGGAGAATTGCTTGGGCTTCTAGGAGGAAGTGTATCAGGAACAGCAAAACCAGAGAAAGAATGGAAGTAAAAAATAAACATCTCAAAAGTGGTCGAATAATAGAGTATTAAACTGGAATGGTCTCTTAAAACTGATGAAATGAAATCGAACACCAAAATGGAGAATGAATTTGGAGGTAGAAGATAGAAGAAAGTGGGGGAAGACCACGAATACATCGAAAAAATCAATTCTTGGCCGCTGCGGTGGCATCCGATAGCAGAGCAGGGGTCATACTGGAGGCAGAAAGATGTGCTAACTTGATAGGTTCCAGGTGTGCGAGTAGGAGAATGAGGATGGCTGCTGCCAAAACCCAAGTAATTCTACTAAGGGACACGACAGAGGGAACATTCAATCGCCTTCGAGATACAAGAAGAAACGATTAGTCCAAGTGAGGTGGTAACCTACCTCGGCTTAAGATTTGGAAGAAAATTTAATATAACGCCTCACTTGGCAAACAGAGTGACACTCACCCTAAATGGTATCAGTCGTGTTGGTTGAGTTTTCTGGAGCCTTAGATATCCAGAGGACGACTCTGCTGCAGGTCACCAGAGGATATAAGACAGTGTATCACGAGACAGTGCAGATCTGAGCAGGGGAGATACCTCTCGATCTCCTCCTGCAAGAAGACTTGATGAAATATGCCTATAGAGAAGAAGGCTTGGCAGGGATTCCGGATGACCTTCGAGTGAGGTTTGAGGAACGGCCCAACAGATGGAAATCAATATTGGGAGAAGCTACCGTTGAAGAGTGGAACAGGCGGTGGATCACTAATACTAAGGGGTCTACCTTAAGGAAGTATTTTCCAACCGTAAAGTCTGGACTAGCAGACAGATGGATCAAACCGGACTATTGGGTCTCTCAATTCCTCACTGGACATGGGGGTTTTCGTGCCAAGTTACACAGTCTTGGACAAGACATCAATCTCCTATGCTCCAGTTGTGGTACCCCGGAAACTGCCGAGCATGTGATCACCAACTGCACTGCGTTTGAGGCACTAAGAACCAAGCTAATAAGGAGCACAAATATCTAAAGTATCAACGAAGCAGATTTGCCTCTTCTCATCGCTGCAGATAACTTCCCTCGTATGCGAGGAAGGAACAAATAGACGCAACCATTTCAATATGGGAGTTAGACGGAGACTTCCACAGTCTCGATCTGGGGTGACTCCAAAATATCAATATAGCAAGAAAAGAGGAACATAACAAGAAAAGTCAAACTTATAGTTGTATAAAGAAAAACAAAACAAAACGGAATCCCGTATTGTCGAAAAAACAAGGAACAGAGAGGAAAATTAAAAAAAACTATGGCTAGACAAGAAGAAATATTGGCAGAAAGGTGTGGAGAGACACAGAAGATAGTTTTCCTGATATAAGCGAAAAATATTCTAGGCGCCCCTTACCCCTCCCCTCCCCCCCACAACTGGCTCACCACTCAGGAGTGGAAACTTTTAGTATGTTTACCTCCTTACTAAACAATGTCCTAAAGTCAAAAATTATGACCCCGTCATTTTCTTCTATATCCCATTTTCGAGCATTAATTTACTGGACTACATAGGTACAATATCCAAAATAATAGTCGGACAATTCAATTAAAGTAGTTGTCGAATACAGGTTCGAAAGCAGAATGGCAGGGGCGGCAAGACTCCTTATTCTTCAGGAAAAGGACAAAAACGTTACAGACGTAGTTCTTGCAGTTCATCGCCGGCTGGGCAGGGTGGACCACGCAGCTCACAAGAAAGCTTACAGGAGGATCCTCTACGCTCTTATTGTTCAAGGATTATGCAGGGTGGGTAAGTTGTCGAAGTTTGCAAACATATTTATTTCTGTTATGAAACATTTTGATAATCTTATTATATTTTCATAACGGAAAATTGTTTGTAAATCTTACCATATTCTATTTCAGTTACTGGAAGAAGACGTTATTCTGATTTTCAGAAGATCGGATGTGAAATTGGGTAAAAGTGTAATAAATAGTTCCAGGAATAAATATAAAGAGATCACAGGAATGGATGTAAGTGCATTTACAAACAATTTTTTTTTTTTTTTTTAAAGATCCTTTTATTGAGAAATAATACATTTTGCCACACTTAAGGGCACTGAGTACTACGGCTGGGTGAGGCACATTCATACCATATATACAAATACAATAATATTGTCTTAAATATAAAAAAATAAAATAAAAAATTTACATCTATATACCAAAGACAAAACCTATAATAAAACCAAGGAAATGTAACTTAAAGTTAAAATTAAATAAAATACAGAAATTCGTAGCAAAATCAAATAAATTATAAGTAAAATAAATAAATATATAAAAAAAGATTAAAAAGAAAAACATTCATACTTAATTACAATATTTACAATAAGCCAAGAGATCTCCGAGCCCTTTCCCCTCGTGTGAAGGACAAAGCGAGATAAGAGATCTCAGCTCTTCTCTCTTAATCGCGCCGCCGGTATTACCAGTCCGGGGAAGACTGAAAGAGGGCACTAAAGCCACCAACACTCATGACTTGAGTGAAGAAGCTGACCATTGCCAGAACTCCAGTGAAAGGTCACGAGACCACTGTCGTTCCAACCTTCGTGGAGGGATGACTGGAGCTAGATAAGGATTGTGCTAAGGAGTTAGGATGGTGGATTAGGTTCAGGTGAAAATTTGATAATCGGGATGGAATAATGTCAAGACATAAGGAATGTAAGGTTTTGTTTGTAATATAATAAGGAGCATTGACCACTATACGGAGTACTTTAGACTGAAATTATTGGATGCGTTTGAGTATGGTCTTGAGTATGGTATATAAACAGTTTGTTTTCTATTGAGAGACAGACAATTTATTAGAAACTACTTGTTCAATTATAGTAATTATTACTAAGGTGATACCCCCGGCCAACCCCCATTTTACAATTATACAACTGTTCATTTAATTGTAATACTCGTAGCACAAATTGTATAACTGTTACATATCTCGACTGTTTATGGGGCGGGGTAGCCGAATGGGCTAAAGCGTGTGTAACAGCACCGCTAGTTGCCTGGCAACCGGATAACAGAGATGTTTCCCTACCTTCGGTAGTGAGGAAGCAAAAAATGGAACTCACCGCAGCAAGCGTAATTTTATATGATCTAATTATAACTTCGCTGACTATGTTTTTATGAAAAGGTAATATCTTAGGAATGGAGAGATAGATTCTTGCGCCATCAATCTTGGGGGGGGGGGAGATAAGAGGAGGAGATGACCACTACTGTCGAGGATATCCTCTACTTCTTTTGCCATAAGGCATCCCATAGAGCATCTTCGCCATGCTTTCCACATGACCTATCCATCTTATCCTTTTGTTATCACTACCAAAATATCTGGTTCCCCAAACAGTTCTTGTAACTCTTCCTTCCTTCCTATTTTTCTCCAAATCCCATTTTCATCGACTCCGCCTCATATTCTTCAAATTTATCTCTCCCAGAAGCTTGAGCATGCGTTCTGAGTTTTTGGTTAAATTGAATGTTGTAAATAACCTGTTAAAGGTTAATTGTAAATAGCCGTTTGGCGGGAATTGTAAATTGTATTCCTCTTTATCGGGGGACTAGGTTATTTACACTCGTGATTTTAATTTTTTTTAAACCAAAAATTTTTATTTTTTTTTTATGGATGCGAAACTTGGCCGCTTACATTAAGGGATGAGCAGCGTCTTAGGGTTTTTGAAAATAAAGTATTGCGTAGAATATTCGGACCCAAGAAGGATGAGATAACGGGAGAGTTCAGACGGTTACACAATGCCGAATTGCGTGAACTGTATCCGGGCAATATAATAGAGGTAATTTCATTGCGGCGAATCAAATGGGCTTGTAAAGTTGTTGGGCTTAGTAACGATAGAATTCCTAAAAGGTTAATATTTGCTGTGCCGAATGGTAAGCGTCCAAGGGGTAGACCGAAGCGAAGCTGGGAAGATTGCATTAAAACCGATCTGAAGCTACTGGGTTTGGACGGGGAACGGTGGAGGGAGATGTGTAATAAGCGATTGGTGGTGTCGGCATCGAACCTTCGGGTTCGCTAAGCCTTTTATTATTATTATTTAAAACAAAACAGCGGCACTGGATATAGTATTTTTGAGGATGTTTAACTGTAGTTGGGAATTCGGGAACCTAATGCTTTTTGAGACACTGAGTGAGAAGAAATGATAAGAATATATATATGAAATGTGGGACTGAGTAAATACACTTTGAATGAATTGACTCACCTGGTTTGTAATTCTTCAATTGTGAGGCATATAGGACAACTAAATAAATAAATGACTTTTCACTCCTGTATAACAAAATAATTTATTTCCACAGCTGTAATAAATTGACTCTATTAAAGTGTTATAACTATAGGCTTGATCTTCTTAATGTTCAGTGTAGTAGACTTCTCTCCTCAGGTAACCTCCTTCCTTCATATTCCTGCCTCAAGTGACTTCTCCTTTTTCCGGCGTCCTTCTCCAGCTGCTCCCGGTCTACCTTCCCGGACCTTTTCCTTCTTCATCGATTCTTTATCGATATGAGACTTTTCAATGAATAATTTGTTCACTGCACGATTGAATAGAATTCATATTCCAATATATTCCTTCTCGTTCCCTCACACAATGTCACATAAAGGAGTAAATACTGGCTATGTACCACACCTATACATAACCACTGCCTTTACTATGGTAGCAAAAATTATTAAGCATGTTGTTTATTTATTGCTCGCGTCACATTTTTTTCTTTTTCAAACGAACACGGTGTATTTTCAGATCCGAATGACAGTGTCGGATACGAGGTTTCTGCCCTTCGAGTCGTGCGGGGGAGTGGACATCTGCTCGACCGGGGGACGGCACATGGTGAACAACTCGTTGGCTGTGAGGTTGGACCAGCTGCTCCAGAAGGCCTGCCCCATGATACGGATAGCCCTCTACGGCCTCAACAAGAACCGGACCTTCTTCGATCTGTCCAAGATGAGCGGATCACCGACCCTCTTCGACTTCCCTTCTTCACGGGACCCATCGAAGGCGAGCTCATCGGAAGAAGAAAATTCAGATATCGAACCGGAACAGAAGGAAAATCGTACTAAGTTCGAGGCTCAAACGGTCATGTTATCGATCAATAAGTCGTCTAATAAATATGGAGTGCTAGCATTGTCATAAAAAAAAAGAAAAGTGGTTATTAAAAATAAAATCCGTATTGATAGTTTATAATTTAGTTATTAATTTTAACCAGGAGCACTAATCTTACATAACACTTCATAAGGAGAGAATTAGATTAAGGTTTTTTTCTCATTGGTCTGAGACAAGTATTCTTCTTCTTCTTGTTCATTCTGTCCATTTTGGGAAATAATACTTGATATCCATACACCACAGAGACTGGACATCAGACAAATATTTTAAATCCACTTTTCAATTTCATCTTTTATCACTGCTGTAATAATAAAGAAGAGCCAAGATGGAGGCTGATTTGAAGATCACTTGGAGTACACTCTAAATGGAATCCCGAGGAATGGAGGAATTAAAACAGGAGAAAGCGTTTTAACTTTCACTTATGTACATATGTAATATATAGTACGGGTAAGTATTGCGATCGTGAAAATTTTTGAATCTGAGTTTTCAACGGAGATACACGTTTTGGGGTACCCTGAGTCCAAATAACCAAGTCCCGAAAAATGGTCTGTGTATATGTGAACACTCAAGGCTCGATAACGAAAAGTCGTACGAAACTGACATTACGTATTTAAGATAATTATATATGCCTTAGATATCCTAGAAACTTTTAAATTAAAATCGGATAACCGGAAATGTCACTTTATATCAACGATGAAAAACATTATTTCAATTTTCTCAAAAACGACTCTAACACTATTTTGTTTAAACTCGGTGTAAATTTGTGTAATTAAGTAGTCTTTAATATCATTTAGGTCTTATCCAAGTTGATGTCACTTTACAGAGCTTGAATGTCTAATGTTCATATACGTCTTCCTCTAAAGTACCTTTAATATGGTTTGTTTTAAATAATTAACTATCTCTCATTATTAAGAGTTACGAACAAATTCTAAATATAACTTTTGAAAGAATTTGATGATTAAATAAAGGAGAAAAAAAGGAAAATGCTTATTCAGGTCGAAAATGAATCTCCGGAAATACTAATCAGAAGGTATACGTATAATATATAATTGGAAAGCGAAGAATTTTAGAGAAAACAATATCTAATATAGAAAGTTGTAGAAGGTAACAGAGAGTGACAAAAAAATTATAAATGGTAATTTTTGAAAACTAATAATATTTAACGTAAATCACATGTTTTCAAGGAAATTAAATGAAAATTACTTACTAAATGTAACCTTTTAAAATATTTTTAAATTTGAAAAAAAAATATTTAAAATCGACCTAATCAAGGCAACGAAGTTGTTAAAAAAAACTATTTCATTGTACTTGTGTGAAAGAAGAAACACAATTTTTTGGTGATGGAAAACGTTCTCGATTTTAGATAATAAATAAAATCAGTATTTATTTATTTCCTGGTTTTAGATTGGTAAAATTGTTTGTTCTTATCTTGTTTTTCATCAACAAATTCCGTATAAATTCACAAAAACATTCTTAAAAATTCAGTTCCATCAAAAATATAAGTTGTGAATTTTCGCAATAAGCCGATTACATGGGCTCTTTTTTTACAATATTGTAATATATGTAGATTTTTAAGGGTTAGTCTTTCAATGGTTTAAAAAATATTGCTTGTTAAAAAATATTGGCCAATACCCTCATTTTATTTTTTTTAAAACTGGGGAATATCCTCTGTCTGCTCAAAGGTGGACCAACCCCCATTTTACAAATTATACAATTTATAATTATACAAATAAGAAGGCAAAAATAAATGATAATATTTATTTTGATATTTGCCGACGTTTAGACCTGGCCACCCTTCTCAGTTTCTTCCCTCATTCCTTTCATTCCTTTTCTCTGTTTTAACTCTTTATTATATTAAATTGTTGTCTGTACATTTTGATAGACTTTACAATATCTCAATTTTCTATCTAACTGTTCTATTTGCAATATCTTAATTTTTCTATTTATTTTCATTTCTTATATAACTTCATATTCCTTTTTTTCTGTTTTACATTTTATTCTAAGATTCCCATTTTAATACTTACGTCACCTTTTTTGATTATGTTTACTTCATCATTCCACACTTTGTAACGGTTATTATTATTTATCTCTTAGTTCTTACTATTGTCGTTATTCTACCAACTTCATTTTACATTTTTTTTTTTTACCTACCCTACTCATGTTTCTCATACCTTGTTATCTGGTTCTTTTCTTAGCCCTGATGAAGGCCTGAACTTCAGCTCGAAACGTCGGCAATGTCAGAATAAATATAATTTATTTTTGCCTTCATATTTGATTGATCACCCTAACTATTCTTCTCATCATTATTCACGACAGTCAATCATTTACTCACAATTATTTATAGTTTTTGTTTTTACGGGCTCTTGCAGTGAGGATGTCGATACGTAATTTTCATGTATTCTGTAATTCAGATTATATAATTGTTTTCAATTTAGTGTATGCAAGAAAAAACAAATTTCAAGTCTTTATTCTAGCATTTTAAGTTGTTGAGATTGAAAAATAAAATATCACTCAGTCACAAAAATTTTGTTTATATAAAAGAGAGAATCCCACCATTTTGATTTGTTGAGATTGGAAGATAAAATATGACAGTCACTAAAAAATTTTTTGTATAAGAGATTAAATTTATGAATGGTTAAAATGTGATTGAAAACAATATCGAATTTCGATTGTTCCTTTGTTTTGATACGATATTGGACGATATCGAAAGGGAATTATCGTTAGCTTTTCATATCGATATTATCGCAACATCCTCAAGCGATCCAACCAATCACCTAACCTTAGTTAGCGATTCGATCGGATTAAAACAATTTTAAAAATGCATGGCAGTTCACATCCTGTCAAAGCCCGCTCGATGCCCAATGCCTTCAACACTTCTGAGGGCGATGTGAGTAATATTTTCTATTATATTTATCTTGCCGCCTTAACAAGCCTGTCTTGGGTTATTTCTTTCCAGTTTTCTGCACGCAGCTCTGTTGAATCTTTGTTGATTCTATCCATCCATCTGCTTTTTGGCCTTCCACGTAGTATTTTGTCTTCTATTGAGGCATTCATTGTTACGTAGAGGTTTCCTCATGGATTGCTACTAGCTACGTGCTCTGCACATCTTAACATCCGTGCCTTCATGTCATGAGATATTGATTGACCAGTTTTTTTATTGGTCTTTTTTCTTCACGTCTCAGTACTGTGATCTCTAATAGTTTCGGTTATCGAGTGGAGGATTTTTCTCTCACATCTTTCAACATTTTTTCTAGGGTGATGGTCAGTGTCCAGTTCTCACATTCATATATTAGAATCGATTTTATCCTGTCTCAATACGCAATAAATTGTACACCCTTAATTTGATATTCCGACACAGTCCGATACCTTGGCTTCCTTCTAGACAAAAGACTAACATGGAACCCACATACCAGACTTAAAAGACAACAGCTTAACCGGCGATATGGCCAACTATATAGACTACTCAATAGAAAATCTCAACTTTCAGTTGAGAACAAACTATTAATCTACAAGACAATCCTGAAACCTATCTGGACCTACAGACTCGAACTGTGGGAGACAGCAAAACTCTTTAACATCAGACCCATTCAATCCTTCCAGTCTAAAGTTCTTCGAACAATAGCCGATGCTCTCTTTTATGTAATAAATCCTACACAATGACCTTAATATTCCATTTGTACTTGACCTAATCCCAGTTTCCAAATTTCACCAGAATCTCACTCATCATCCTAATCCTGTAGCACATTCTCTATCTACCTCCAGTCATCCCTACAATCTTCCTCGGAGGTTAAAACGGCAGTGGCCCCGCGACCTTTTGTAAAAATGTATATATTGGAGTACTGGCACTGGCCAGATTCTTCACTCACGTTTTGAGCGTATGTTGCTCTAGTGCCCTCCATCAGTCTCCACTCGCTTACTATACCAGTGACGCGGCTGGGAGAGAAGCACTGGGGTCTCCTGGAGTCCTGCTTCTACAATTGGGGGACAAAGCTTGATTCGGAGTCCCCTGGGTCAATGTAAATATTGTACATAGGTGTCAATGTGTTTTATTTATTTTGTTATTATTCGACTAATCTGTTATTTTACTTATCTTGTATATTACTTCATCTTTTTATTTATATATAAATTTTTTTCCCCTTTCTTATGTACATATTGTGTGAATGAATACTATAGCCCTAGTACCAATGCTCTTCATTGTGGCAGACTTTATTAATACTCAATAAAAAAAAAATAATAAAAACAAAAAAAATTGAGATTTTTCTACTCTCGGAATTAATTTTCCTTCTACACAGATCCTCTTATTGGGGTGGAATTTTCGGCCTATTATCATATATTTTATTTTATTTTTTGGTCTGCCTCTCCTATCAGAGTCTTAGCGAGTTTCTCAATGTACTCTTGATTACTTCCTAGGACACCTTTATCATCTGCTTATCTGATTTTATGATTCATTCCGACGTGGATCATTTTCCTTTGATTTTGTTCTTATCTCCTTCTCTGGGGCTAAGTTGAACAACATTGGTGATTGTCCATCTCCCTACTCTAAGTGCGTTTGAACTTTCTAGGCTTCAGATAGTTCATTGTTAATAATTCGGTCATCAGATCAGAATCCCATAAATTATATTTATTTAAATATGTTAACAATTATTATCTACTATTATAATTGAGTGAAAATTTCTCTCTTAAAATGGGGGTATTTTCAATGAAGTTGTCTCCGTCTTCCTTCAGACACATTCAAATGTTCTCGGGAATCTAGTAATATCGTGCAAAAGTAATCTCATGTTCATCCTTCTCATTATTTAATGTGTCTTCCTTCAGACACATTCAAATGTTCTCGGGAATCTAGTAATATCGTGCAAAAGTAATCTCATGTTCATCCTTCTCATTATTTAACCTGTAGTATTTTTAAATGAAATGGAATTAAATGCTAAAATAAAAATACTGATGTACTTTCTTATTATTAAATAAAATAAAATTTTGATTAGTCTATGTAACTGTTGCAGCTATACAACATTATATTGCACATTCAGCAAGACATGGCCGAAAAAGTTGAAGAAATCGAAGTGAAAACGGAAGAGGAATTCCTACAGGAAAGGAACCGGGAGTTTCTTCTAAGTGTAAAAAATATCGAATCCTATTATCGAGAGAAGGAAATTATAGCACAGAGGTCCATTTTGGTGTAAGACACATCAAATGCTACCTAAATAAGTCATTTTCAAAATTCCTTCAACAATCCACTCCATAAGGATTCAGTTTATTTTTACTTTTTCAAATTTAATTTGGAGAAAAATTATTTCAAATTCTACAGACAAATGAAAAGTAATAATAACAAACTAGATAACACAAGATTAGAAATTTCTAATGTTCAAGTTAAACTAAAAAAAAATACATTTAATTCTTGGTAAATACTTATCTATTTCCTGTCCTTAATCAACATTGTAAAATCTTTACATCTGTATATTGAAAGAAGTTTATCGACTATTCTACATATCATGGGTGATGAATATTCAGGACGCAGGCATTATAAAGTTCTTATTGATGCTAACGTTTCAACCCAAACATGTGGGCCATCATCAGGGCCTCTTTTGAGCACTGAAGGTGTTCAAGTACTCACGCAGTTCGGGTTGAAACGTCGGCACCAATGAAAACTTTATAATGACTGCGTCCTGAATATTTATCACCCAATACATCTGTATAAATAAATAAATTTGTTTAAGGAATAATATTGTAAATTCAACAGGTGATTGAATCATAAAACCCTAGTATATGTTGATATATATTATTATCTTTGAGTATAAATGACAATTTAAATAAAATTATCATTTAGGTATTAAAAAATAGTAACATACCTACTAGTAGGAGCTCTACACTAGCCAGCTAGTCGAGGTTTCTTAATCGATTTTAGTTAAAACATTTTATTCATTCATGTAGCTTATTTATTATTGTTTTTGATTTTTTTTACGTCAAATTATTGGGGGGGGGGGAGGACGATGTTCTCACCCCTCCACATTTTTATTGGAGGAGGGGAGGGCGATTGCCTTCCTCCGAAGTCTGCGCCTAAGGTGTTAATAATGGTTAGGGTTTCTTTATGAAACAAACGCAGACAATACAGAAACGTTTATTATGGAAGAACACTACAAACATAGAAGCCATATCAAGGGAGTATACATTGTTGTGATCACTGACGTCACATCTGACAGTGTTGCCAGTAACAGTGTTTTATGTAGAATATATATATAACATTAATAACAAATAACATCAATTAATTAATTCTAACATACGGTTAGTGGTAGTTTATGAAATTCATGACCCATAAGTGACACTCATGACGCTAATGCTCTTTTTGCCAATAATTTCACAAATTATGATATCAAATTGAAAACAAAATTAAGCCTTATTTTGAGGCTTAGGCGAGAGCTAATAAACGTAAAATGACAGTAAAGAAAGAAAAGAGAAAATTTTTCTATCGGAGGCAGGGCCGACGCGTTGGCAGGGCGACCGGGGATCGAAGATAAGCATTAAAACCAATTAAGAAAAAAACACAGATTTGAATAAGAGTTTCCTAAGAATGTAAATGTGGTCAGAACATTCTTAGAACAAATGTATGCCAATAAAAAAGCCCTTTAGATTTATAATAGATAAATAATGTCACGTACTTATAGTCCACTATAATAATACTGTAGTCTAGGAGTTTGTGAAAAAATGAGCTTGTTCTATAAATAACACTTTACTTGAAATATGAGCTTTTGAATTTGAGCACTTTACTTGAATTCTGTATTCTAGGAGATCTCAAAACTATGTCAATAAATGTATGTAGTCTAGACCTCATGTGTGAATAATTTATTAAATTTTATATCTTTAGTCTAGTAGTTTCTAAACGTTTTGCACCGTGACCACTTTCGTTTAAGACGAAATGTCAGGTTCTGATTGTATTTTTGCAAAAGAATAACTTCACGCTTGTTCGGCAATTTCGGCCTATTTATTTTCAATATACTAAAACACAATACACCCGGTGGATATAGGCAGCGATTGGATATCTAACATTTGTTTTCGCTAAGCCTTCATAATTATTGCCGCTGTATTCATCTCTCTTTCTCTATTCAAAAGGTTATTAGCAGTTTTGGGAAGGAGAAGGAGAGGGAGGCGCCAGGTAAAATCTCGCCCCAGGCGCCGAAAACGCACACGACGGCCCTGATCGGAGGGAGGTTGAGATGCATTTTAAAGTTATAAATAAGACTATAAACTATTTCTATATCAACTAATAATCCTTTTAATAAAATCAATCATTTAATATCTATCTGAATTTTCAGATATGAAAGTAAAATGAAGAATACGAGCCGATTGGAAGTGCTGGATAACAAGTACTCTCATGTTATAGACACCATCAATAGAGCTCGCCACAGGTTAGCCAACAAGGATAAGCCCCACCATGCTGCCACTTACAAAGAGATACTACGCGCGCTTATCATGCAAGGACTTTGTAAGGTACTTCTAAGGATGCTTATGATACAATTACAAAATCAACTTCGGTAATAATATAATATAATATAGTCACATGACAATAGAAGACATATGGGTCAAAATCACATAGTCGTACTGTTCGTGGAACGGTAAAGATAGCGGACCGTCTTTGTCTTTTGACTAAAATTATAAGAACAAATAAATTGACCTGGAGATCTAAACAGAATTTAATAAAATAATTCATTTATTATAAAAATTAGTGCAAAATCTAAATTGGAACTATATCTAATTATAGCCACATTTTATTATTTTAAAAAGGTACGTAGGTAAACAATAATATTGAATTATCTCTACTAGAAAAAATTGGATGCGGTGCGCGCATCACCTAACTCTCACTTACCACTAGTAATTAAAATACTTAGACTAGGGCTGAAGTTCCCCCCTCCGTCCTCAAGCGCAGAGCAGCTTTCTATCCGTACACAAAATCTTTGTAATACGGGTTGTTCTACTCTATCACTAATTAAGGAAATTCATTTTCTGTGCGACACAGAGTCCAATTTTCCTCATCATTCCCTTAGTCCATCAAAGGCGGTGCAGTTGATTATGACGTGCTCAGCCGTCTCCGGTACACCGCATGGGGGGCAGAGCGGATCTATGCCTTCCAAGACTACTTAGTATGGAAACCTCCATGCTCAGTAAGGAATTGATAAGACCCAGTAGTCCGGGTGAACCCCCATCGCATCCAAGTGACTTCGGGCGATGGGGAGATATTTTCTTAAGATTGTTCCTTTCGAGGTTGTTACCCACCTCCGATTCCACTCATCAGTGCTATACTTCCGAATAAACATTCTCCACTTTCTTAGGCTGCAAATAAATATTAAAGAAATGTTTATCCACAAGTTACTTAGGCCAACATCAGATAAGGTTCAAAAGGGGGCCGCGGGCTGTTGGTGTTCTGCCGCCTAATGGATGTCATAATGATAAGGACTGTGAGTACAAAGGTTGGCACAAGATTCTGGAAGAGTGAGTCAGAGGAGGCAAGAGGGGTCAGAGATAGCCTGGGGACGACAGTCAGTCTGGGACAACAACAGAGAGTTGAGGAGGAGAGAGAGGGCAGTCAGTTTAGAGACATGAAGTATAGAGGAGACGAGGAGAGGGTTGGCACTGGCAAGAAGGACTCGAGAGTAGTGGATGTGGTTCAGGCACAGGCGAATCTACCGGGGGAGGGGGAGGGAGCTTTCGGACTGAAGCCCCCCTCCGAAAATGGTAAAATATAACTATGTTTTACAGAAAAGAGTATTAGAAAACTATCTCTTAGCTTCGTTATAATTACATTTAATAGGACTTCAAGAACCACTTAAACACCATTTCATATAGGTAGTTAATTTCTTTCTTCTTTTTTTCAAATTAATTATCGTTATATGTATATGAAAAAAAAAAAAAAATCTTTCGGGCTGAAGCCCATCCCAAAATTAAATCCTGGATCCGCTAGTGGGTTCAGGTAAAGAAGACATCAAGGCAGCCGACCACCAGATGGCAGTGAAGTCATAACATACATTTAGATATACCTGTGTAAACTTGTCATGACAATCAGTAAAAATAATAGAATCAATAATTTAATAGTTATTCAATCAGTACATTTCAAACTAGTATCCTCTTCCTATGATTCTCCAATAATGATTGTAACTATATTTTTATTTTTGGTTTAAAACTAAATAAATAGATTATTATTTGTTTAAATCGTAAATCTTTAACAATCATCCTTGCATGCCACCATTTAGATATAGATACAAATAATAAATTAGTAACCATGATAACTCTGGAAAAGAAGTTCAATAGAGATTATGCTATTCAATCTAGATACTACAGTAGGGCTGGATTATTAAAATACAGCGATGAAATATTGGAAAAGCTAAAAAATCCATAACCTATCTAAGGACATCCATTTATCCATAAATTCCAATAACAATCCCATATATAGAACTATTTCCAGCCCAGAGTCCTATTTGATGTATAGAGCTAACATGAAAAAGCTAAGATCAATAAGTCAGTTAAGAGTTTCAAATCCCGAATTAATTAAGCTCTATACGAAAAACAAAAGATTCTACTTCAAAGCCCAGGAAACCTGCACTTTCTATAACCAATTCATTACTAACAGCCTGTTCCATATCCTTCTGTACTGTGAAAAGCTAACAGACGACAGACACAAACATTTACGAGCATTTCTCTCTGCGCAAAGTGATGTAAACAAGATACAAGACATACTTCGAATCGATAACATAGAGAAACTTAATAAAATTTACTGGTACATAATGTCAGCGTGCAATTCACTGGATTCCTTAAGCTCTGATGTTCCACACACCAATCAAGTGCTATGACTAAGGATAATTGTTGGTCAGTTCAATTAATTGTTTTTGTTTTTTTTCTTATGGTTTTATTGATAATGTAGATAGAAATTAATTGGAACGTAATGAAGTATTATTGTTTTTATAATAAGTCAATGTACAGTTATGATAAACTAGACTCATGTAGTTGAAATAAAGTTATTCATATATGTATGATTTGTACAAGAATGTAAAATAATCTTTAACAAATAAATTCAATTCTATTCTATTCTACTACAATAGGGGGTCTGTGGTTTCTATCCCTTAAATAAATCATTCATATATTCTTAAGTAGAAATATTCCCTTCTGGAACCGATAGAAATACAAATATAAATACTAAGAACAGCAAATAGAGATAAATGCGAATTCTGGAACCCCCTACTCGCCGTAGAAACGCGGTGAGCCGTAGTAACTAAGCATTAGTATTATAATAATATCTAATTAAAAAATTATTAACAGCTGATGGAGCCTAAAGTGTTGGTGACGGTGAGAGCTGAAGATAAGGAAGTAGTCGAAAGTCTTCTAGGCCCGCTCGAGAGCGACTACGAGGAGATAACAGGGCTTCCTGTGAAGCTGTACATAGACGATACTGGAGAACTGCCGAAGGATTCCGAAGGTGGCGCAATACTCATCAGCCAAGATTACACTGTCTCCTTGGACAACACCCTGGCCTCCAGGCTCGAGCACACGTCCTTCCACCTTCTGCCCGAGATCAATCAGATGCTCTATGGCGATGTCAGGGTGGTCAAGGACAAAGACAAACTCAAGACGTTCCCATCGTACCTTCCACCCGTAGACGTGGTAAGGAACAGAATGGAGAGGAAATCGAAGCAAGAAGACATAAACATCGATAATCTGAGTATAGGCAAGATGCCCATTGATGAAAACCTAACAACGATGCAGCCAAGCGGAATAGATGATGACATCAGCCTGGGCAGTTTGTTCAGTGACGAAAAGAAGAAATCTTAATGAAATAAACTTTATAAATCATGATTTACTTTGTTTTGTTAACCTTTTTTTAAAAAAAAAAGTTCATAATTCGACTTTTTTTTTTATGTACCTTTAATCATAAATGTCACCGTTTATTGTCCAATTTTTATGAATCGTTTTCAAGTTGAAGGGTACATACTTCCAAGATATTTTCATGTAAATGTAATGAGTGTCCGAAAACATTTTGATAGATAGAGTTCTTCTTCTTTTTCTTCTTCAATGAAGCACAATCCATTTCTAGGTCATGCCCTCCTGAATCACCAATTCACAGGCGGATCTACGGGGGGGAGGAGGGCTTTCGGGCTGAAGCCCCCCCTAAAATGGTAAAATGTAACCATGCTTTACACAAAAAAATATTAAATACTATCTCTTAAAGTATTCTTGTTCGTGTAATTATATTTAATAAGACTTCAAGAACCAATTAAACACTGTTTCATATAGGTAGTTAATTTCTTTCCTTTTTTAAAAAATTAATTATCGTTATATGTATATGAAAAAAAAATCTTTCGGGCTGAAGCCCCCCCCCCCCCAAAATTAAATCCTGGATCCGCTAGTGCACCAATTGACCCTATCCTGCCCAACAACAACCAGTTCGGGACGCCAAGCATGGTTCCAGCCATCGTGAGACATTCCATCCAGGGGTACCCATCCCCCCCCCATGGTAGATGATGAGAGAAGTTACCTTCCCCCCTCCTCCCAAGATATTTAATGCTCACCATTCCTAAAAACACAGAGCAAGCTGTGGTAAAATTAGTTAAATCGATTATCATGTACAATTACAATTTCTGTTGTCTGATCCATGTTTTCCTGTTGTCCCATAGTCCAAAAATTCATAACCCCATTGTAATTTGCCTCCCTCAAAATTTAAAAACATGTCAAAATATGCCCCTCTCAAATCCCTTCGCGTCACCACTGATTCCATCCTTCTAGCTCAGTTTTAGTCTCCCACGTTTTCTAGTTCCATGAAGTACAGTCTTTCTTGGCATTTCGGTTGGACTCATGCGAGCTACCTGTCTAGCCCATTTTGGTCTTCCTAGGCAAATGAATAGACAACATCTAGTTCCCTATACCGCTGGCGGATCTAAGGTGGTGGGAGGAGGCGGCTTTCTGAGAGGAGGACTGAAGCCCTCTCAAAATGGTAAAATATAACTATGTTTTACAGAAAAAAATATTAAAAACTATCTCTTAAAGTATTATTGTTCGTATAATTACATTTAATAGGACTTCAAGAATCACTTAAACACCACTTCATATAGGTAGTTACTTTCTTTTTTTTGTTCAAATTAATTGTCATTATATATATGAAAAAAAAGAAAGCTTTCGTGCTAAAGCCCTCCCTAAAATTAAATCCGTGATCACCTAGTGTCTATGGGCACCCCTGATTGAAACCCATTACTACAATTTTTGGTTTATTATTTTTTAAAGTTTTATACAAAGTAGACTCATTATTTATTTTTTTTATTAACTAATAGTTAAAAATTAAATTAGATTTGCAATCTGTAATTTTTTTGGCAGCTTCACAGCATCCCTTCACATCCAGGATATAAATCAAATTAGCAGGTCTCTTGGCCACTGCCTTTGCAGTAATCGTTGTGGTGGCCTGTGAGGATTTCTTGTATGCTTAGGGATTTCGGTCAGAGGAATCATCTTGTAAGTCAGTCTTTGGTAAATGTTATTGAAGTTTTCTTTTGCAGTGCCTAAAATTGTTTGGACGTTTAAGTCTTAACATAATATATCATCATAAACTGGTGCCTCAACTATTCTTGGCGACCCTTTGGCTAGGACTGAATTTTTTTGACATTGGAAGTTTTAGCAGAACGCCACAGTTCTATGCAGTAAGTCTAAATTGATTTAAGTAAAGCTTTATAAAGGGTTTGTTTGTTAAAGATAATTTTGAACATGTGTCAAATAACCTGGATAAAATTTCCACATTTTTTGTTAAATTCTATTTGTTTCTGTCTGATTGAGTCCTACCAGTAAGTCTAGATTTACAAGTATGATTATTTAAAAATAAATCTTTTGTACACTCATTAAAAGATACAATAAAATCTTAGATCAGTTTTTTTTTTTTTTTAAATCATGTTTAGGACTTTGTATGTGAATGGTGAAAAGTTGTCTGAAAATAAAAATATAAAAAATTAAACAAGTGGTTGAGGACATTGAAAAAATCAATTTCAGATAACAATTTAGTTTATTACACTATTTACATTTTTATTTATTTTTTCCACATGATGTATATACAAATGGTGAAAACAGAGGCACATAATCAGTCCACTTACCGTGATTATTTATACAAAATATGGTGTTTTAGGATTATTTACCCTGAAATATTAGTGTAAGTAATGAGGATATTGAACATTAACTATGACCATTCCTTCCAACTTATTGTTATAAACAATGGGAATGTTAATGATTACTTTAAAATATAATTACAAGTATTCTATAAACTGATACATAGTTTAGTTATAATTGATTTAGTGAATTCACTATTCATATTATCACTATCCTTATCGAAATAATCTTCAAGCCTACATAAGCAACTCATTTGTCAACACTAATTGTTTAAATACATAATTTTAGTTCAGATAAAATTGAACTTATGACAACATTTGTGTGACTCATTATTTTGTGTTGAGAATGAACAATAAATGTTTTATCAAGTGTTAATATATAATTAATATTTGTTTTTACAAGAAACTTTGTTATAAATAATGGTATAATTGATATAAAAATGCTTTTATTTCTTCACTTTTTATTATTGAACACATTTTTAATTCAGGCAATTCTGTAGAATTAAACTTATCTTTGTATATTTAAATCATATTTAACTTCTCCATTATATAGTTTGTATTTTTTAATTATTTAGCATAACTTTGATTGTTTTAGGGTCTGATTTTAGAATAATCTATTAATTAGGTTATGAAACAAAATAAGTTGGGTATTAAAATTTTATAAATTGTTGTTGATCAAATGACTTGATCAAAAATACACAACAGTTTAGAAATGTAAAAAAGTTCAAAACATAATTATTGCAACTAGTGAACTACTATCTTACTTTTCCATTTTACTTTACTAAGTAAAAGGAAAAATTTTTTAAGTCTGAAACTTACCGTATGTTACTACAAAAATCGTTTTTATCACAGTACTGTCTATTTTTAATTACTTTTTTGACTTATAATGTTAATTTTGCCAAGAATTTAGTTCAACTTTGCTATAATAGACGATATCAAATGAAAATGACAAGATTTTTTGGTTGTGCTGAACCAGTCCTGGATTTTGACATGGATTGAAAAATAAATGTAGAACAAGAATAATAAATCTCTCTCTATGTGTGTGTCTGCATGTGTATATACACACACACACACACACGTTTTTCTAAGTTAATAGTTGATAATTTTTTAAGGGACTTATCAAAACAAGCTCGTGAAAAGAACCAAATAAGTGTTAGTGTTCCTTGATATATCAAAAGATATTTCCGTTTCCTTTCTGTTTCTTAATTTGTTTTTATATTTATATTTTTTTAAATAAAAATAGTTCAAACCAAACTATTTCCCTTTAACACAAGCTTGTTCTTTTCAACATCTCTCCATCCATTTTTATCAAGAGTATGTATTGTGTGTGTGGCATTTAGGAAATGTCTGAACCACCTTAAGGATTAGATTGGTGTAAAAACAGCTGTTAATGAATAAATAAAATATTTTTATAACTTGTGCAAAATAAATTTCATGTTCAAATTATAATAACAATATTATTATCAAATTTTAATTATTAAACACTACAACACTTTTTAAATTTATTTCTTCTTTTTTTCTCATGCCAAATCTATATGATTCACCCCAAATATTAAAAAAATCTGGCCACTTGATCCAATAAAATATGTTTTTTAAATTTTACCAATACACTTATTATAATTTTTTTTTTTTGTATCAATTCATTACTTTTCTTTTGAAGTCTTCTTATTTTATAATTTTGTTTCTGAACCCATACTAAAATTTTAAAGTAGGAATTAAAAAAGTAGTTTGATTTAAATGTCTTTTCTATAATGCACCATTTGGTCCTTAAATATTTGTATCAGATAATTACAGTTTAATTTATAAAAACTGCACCGAAGAGTGCTTAAAAAGTTTTTTTTTAAAATATTAATATTCATTTCTTTATTTTAGCCAGTTTTCACAATATACTGATGGAATCACTCAAAGTCTACCGGAAATTTATTGTTAGATTATTCTATTCTTAGAAATAGTTTATTATGATAAAAATAAAACAAATTTATTGCTTCAACAAACAGGTAATTAACATTATTATTTTATAACTTATTATGTTCTTTTTTCTTTAATTAACAATATTTAAATTATTTAGGAAACATTACAAAGTTTCAAAAAACTTTTAAACAATCTTCAAAGGTGAATTTTTTTGTCATTTGAATTGAATGTAAGAACTAATTTTTGGAAAAATGAGATCATGATTATTTTTATTTTTTAAAAATCAAAATGTATCATATATTTACAGATATTTAGATGAAAGTGAACCTTTATTATTATTATTTTTTTTTTGGAATTATAAAAAATATTTTATAATTAATTTATGAATATATACAGTATGCTTAATTAAAAAACAAAACAATAAAATCAACTTTTAAGAAAAAACATATCTGATATATAAATATGTTCATATTTATACAAATTAACTGAAACAAACACCTAGGATCTATTCTTTCAACATATTACTATTTATAACATTATTACAATACTGATATTAACAAATAAAAGTAATAATAATAAAGTATAAAAGGGGCTTTTTTAGCTAGCAAACTACAAATTACAACTTTATAAAATTTAAATGACTTTAACCTATACATGTACAAAATTAATAGCTTGCCTCCCATCTACACAGTGATTTAACTTTACATATTTCACACGACTGCGACATTCACTAGTATTAACATTATCACATGTTATCATCACTAAGAAGCATTGCATCCAACATTTTCAATTATATTTACAAATAAAAAATTCTAATTAAATTAGAATTGAATAGTCTATGTTGACAT